TTGACAGTGAAAACGTTGGTGATTACGACACTTTGGACCCCCCAACACACCCCGCACAGAATATTGACATGCTAAATAAGTCGAATCCTGCTACCAATCTGGCAGCATTATCAACAACAACCAGTACCGCAGCTACGTCAATTAGTGCAACGGGGTTTTCTGTGAGTGTTGACGACGTTGAAAGGTACATGCGGGATCTCAAAAAGTACACAAGGTCGGATTTACCTTCTGCAAACACGACATCTAGGCACCTCTCTGACGACTTCCCAGTTTTGGAAACGCGGGTCCAACTTCTCGAACGGGCTCTTGAAAACTCAGCCAACCGAGCTCCAAGATCAACGGAATATCAAGATATTATTCAGCAATCTACTCAAGTTACGATGCCGTCGCTTGAAAACGTGGTAGTCGCATATTCTCTGAATCGCAAGCAAGAAAAAATGTTCGTGAAAATGGGCCACAAGCTACTTCAGTCTCTCATACTGCCTGAACAACCTGCACAGCAAGAAATTGCTTTTCTTGGTGGTCATCCTGGCGCTGGAAAAAGCAGAGTTATTGTTGCACTGCAGGCACTTGCAATTAAGTGGGATATGCCACAAGCCGTGGCGACTGCAGCTTACCAGGGCGTCGCAGCACAGTCAGCGAACGGACAAACAATTCACAAATTGTTTGGATGGTACGTGAACAGTCGAAGGCAGTGGGCACCGACAAGTGAGCAAAAAGATCGATTTTCCAGGTTGAAATTACTGATTTTGGACGAGGTTTCTACATGTGATGTCAGCATTATTGGAAAGATCGATTCATCACTTCGGAAGTTTTTGGACCGATCGAACGCAGTATTTGGGGGAGTGCATGTGCTACTTGTTGGGGACTGGCTACAACCACTACCTGTTGCTGGTCAGCCTGCTTTTATGTCTGCCGATGAGTTGCTGGAATCACGGTCGCGACAGCAATCAAATACCTCAGATTATTTGGATCGTCTTCTAGGCATCAATGCATACAAAGCGTTAACTTCTGTGGTGATACTTACGGAGAATATGCGTCACCAACATGATCCTGTGTGGCGAACAATTCTCGTTAAATGGAGAGTGGGAAACTATGATCAAAAGGACATCGATCTTGTCAATGATATTGCGTACAGCAAAAACTGGACGTCTTCTGCCGCATCATTGGAGTCATATTGCCCAATAATTGTTACTTCCAACGCTCTTAGAGTGGAGTTCAATTTCTCCACCCTACGATCATTTTGCCAGAAAAGTAACGTCCCATTACACCGTTTTCCAGCCACAGTGCGAAGACCACGACACCCTTTGACGAAGTTTCAGCGGAAGTCACTTGGCAGTATTCGGGACGATAAAATAAGTGGAATGCCTATTAATTTGGAGATTGCACTGGGATCGACGGTACAATGCACAAAAAACGTGTCCACAACGTTTAAATTGGCAAATGGGTCAATTGGAACTGTCGTCGCCATAACCCCCTCGCAAGATGACGTCGTGCAAGTGCGAATTGCGAATGGTATTGAAGAACACTATCACTCGTTGCCTCCAGATGTGGTGTTTGTGAAGTTGAAGGATTACGCTTCTCAGTCATTTGTGTCGACTTTACCACTTGATGTCGTTCCTGTATGTAAAAGGACAGAATGTGGTGTCCGAATTCGGCTGCCAGATCGCTCATTCTCTATCTCAATTTGCCAAGTTTCTCTTGTGTTGGCGTACTCATTGACCACTGAGAAGTGCCAAGGACTGACAGTAGAGAAAATGATTCTTGCTCCGCTACGTCATCCGACTCGCAGGATTCCTCAGCGTTCATCTTTCTATGTCGCCGTCACTCGAGTGAAAACGTTATCGCAGTTGTATCTCATGGCCCCCCTTACGAAAGAGTTTTTGGAGTATTTTACACCAAGTCGTGATGCTCTGGCAGAAACCCAAAGACTTCATGCAATTGAGGATCGAACAGATTAAGAAACCATAATGCTGTGGAAAAATTGTTACAGGTATTCTTTAAAATACAGTACTTTCTTAAGTTAGGGTACCAACTTGTTTTCAAGTTTTCGAAGTTCGGGGATAGCCACTCAAATGAATGGCTATCATTCTCGCTCGGTTTGTTGATGTCTTCTTCTAGACTGGAAGTCTTAGTTAAATCGCAATTTCTTCTCCTTTTTTTCTTCTAAAAGTCCTACATTCCGCACTAGTTATTACTTTTTGAAAATACCGTAATATCCAGAGTTTCACCGGGCTTAGCACGGCATTAGTTTAGTTTCACATCTGAAATGCACGATATTACCTTGGAATTGCACGACGTAGATATGCGGTGCTTTGCCTTCTATCACGAAAGATCATTAGGTACAACAATCTTGGGGGGAGGGGGAGTGTCTAGCATCTAGCTGGCACTGCATTGCTTCTGAAGCCATAAAACAATACATCCGATAAATTTTTGCCGACAAGGAGTATTTGATTCAAATTTTACGCGATCTCCATATGTTCACATACCTCAGCGACGACAAAATAACCATCCTGAGTGACATTTGTTTATCGCGTAAGCCTCGTTCTCCACTTAGCAGCTCTTACCAGACCTTCGTGACCTCACGGAGGGGCTAGTCGCTCAACCCTTTCTCATTTTCTTTCAGGATACGTTTTATCGTTACCAGCTCTTCTTGCACGTCGCGAAGCTTGGATTCGAGAATGTCAACGGGCTCAAGCGCAACAGGTTTAAGGCGGAAAACGTACTTTGTTGCCCAAGCCGAGTCGAGAACACGCAGTTTCACTGAAAGCTCGAGTTGAAGAGCGCCATCCTCCAGAACAACCAGCTGTCGGCGGATCTTCTTAGGATCAACGTTTGAGGCTATCTGCTCATGGCTGCTGTCCTGACCATCGTCTTCGTCTTGACTCTTCTCCTCCGATTCTTCATCAGAATTATCATCGTCCTCCTCAGATCTGCTGGAGTCTTTATCCGAATCATCCAGGTCGTTAGCACTGCCCATAAAGTAATCCAGCGCACCGTAAAATACCTGGAGATCAAGCGTAGATGACACGCTGCGTTAGCGAGAGCACTCTATTAAATAAGGATATGTGCTTGCCGAGACGTAATCTGCCGTAGTTGCGTTTGGGATTTTGTTGGTGCCAGTTAAGAAGTCGCTCTTTTCCAGATCACCCGTGTACCTGCAGAGATTTTTTTACGGTAAGTAACTTCACTGTCCTTCCATGGCAAATACAATGCTTGTAACCTCAAACCATTGCTTTTTGCTGTTTCGGTCCTCCAGTAAAATCTTGAGCTTGTCTGCCTCGCTTGATATCACATAGCGATACGTCGGAGCAGGGAACGGTGCAAACGCCGTGATTCCAGTTTGAATCTTGTCGTTTTCCTCCATCACACTTGGAAAACAAAATTTCGTAGTGAAGTATTCGGCGATCCTATTTTACAGCCAGTTGTTCTCATGGATCCATCGGAGAATGTATACAACTCCTCTCTTTTTCAAAGAATGGGAGGGGGAGACATATACTGGAAAACTGCGGATCTGCTCTTTGAATTTGGTAAGAACTTTGGTGGGATGGAATTAGTGAACAGCATGTTTTTTGTTCTTTCTACTCACTTTTCATTTGGATGTACGCTGACAACCTGAGAGAAAATCCTAGACACTCGCAGGATTCTACTGAAGTAGTTCTTGTTATTCGTATTCCTGTTTTCAAGTGCCTATATAGCATAGGTAGCATCATCTATGGGTGCTGCGCCTCCCTGAACGGCTACTTCGACGTCGCTGATGGCCATCGCGACTGCGAGCCTGATTAATGCGAGTTTGGCTGTCACTTCGACTTCTTGAGCGTTTGTCGCGTGAATGGTAATCACGAGATGATCTTCTTGTTCGAGAATTGCCACCATCATCTCGGTCACGATGGGTGTCACCTACCGAGCGCGAGCTTCGCGAAATCGTAGGTGATCTGCTTGTATTTCTCCGCCCGTGGCGATCATAGTCGTGATGGTTTGAGCGAGTACCTGAGTATCGTGTGTGCTCCCTCGACCGAGACCTCGAATGTGACAGACTCCTGACTTTTTCTCTTCGTTCACCCCTTTCAACTCCGCTACGGTGATTCAAAGGTAAGTCGCGTTCCTGACTCCTGCTCCGCCCACGGTCCTCATGACGATGTTTCTTGTTGTTCTTATCATCGTCACTCTCATCTCGTCGACGTTTCTTCTCCCTCTTTGCCTCTTTCTTCGCTCTCTTTTTCTCTTTCTTCTCCCGTTTCTTCTCTTTCCGTTCCTGTTTCTTCAGTTTTTTCTTCTCTTTCTTTAATCGCTTCATTGTTTTCTCTTTCTCATCCGAAGATGAGTCCGACTCGGACTCACTCTCCTCTCCACAATCCTCAATCACTACGGCCTGCATAGGCGCCGGCTTGTTATTAGCCACAGTCTCTACATTCTCCATCTTCTTTACCACGTCCATCCCTTGAATAACTTCCCCAAACACGACATGCTTTCCGTCCAAATGCGGCGTAGGCACTGTCGTAATGAAAAACTGGCTGCCGTTTGTGTTCTTGCCTGCATTGGCCATGGACAGCAGTCCTGCCTTCGTATGGCGGTATCTAAAGTTCTCATCTGCAAATCTCGCGCCGTAAATGGATTCACCGCCGGTCCCATCGCGGTTTGAGAAGTCTCCGCCCTGCAGCATGAAGCCCTTGATGATGCGGTGGAACGGCACCTTCTTGTAGTGCAGGGGCTTGCGTGTGGTACGTCCCAAGCCGCGCTCCCCAGTACATAATGAACGGAAGTTCTCCGTCGTCTTGGGGACACCTGGATACAGCTGGATCACGATGCGTCCCGCGCGTGAGCCGCCGATGGACACGTCCAAGTACACACGTACCTCCTTCTCCATGCCAAGTAAAAACTAGTTGAAACGACAACGATTGGTCAAAAGCACTGTAGAATGCTGTACTGATTGGGTGATACAAACCTTTGATTTTGACCAATCAATACCATCATAACCAAACGGAAGAGCAAGAAGAGCAGCAGCATGACGACTGCGCACCGCCCGACCTGGCACGCGGCTGTAGGACAGTCTAATGAAGGAGGATGGCATGCCGGAGGTGTGTGCGAGCTTTGATCAGTCTATACTACCCGATTCCTGCGTAAATTCTTGCCGTATCGGTGTCTAATGCGCTGTCAAATTCGCTTTTGTGTGACATTGCAGGCAAGTTGAGCGACCAGGTCTCGGCGCGCGATCTACCAGCCCACAAGCGGCTTAAGATGCGGTAAGATAGCATGATGAAACAGTATTATGATATGAAGGTGAAACTTACAGAGCTGGGTCCATTGTTGTAGTCAAGTTGGGCAGGGTACGGCGAATGAGGTGGAGTTGTTGGACTTGCGTGAGGAGCTAGAGCGCAAGGAGGAGAAATACGAGCTTGAAAAAGGTCGCAAGAAAGACACGGCTCAAGGTACGCGATAGCTGTGAATTAGAGCTGCTGTTGCAAGGGTTCTAGCCTCAAGTCTGGGCTGTTTTGGTTCACAGACAAATTGCGACGGCTAGAAGAGAACAAGAAGATTTTGCTGCTTGGCGACGCTGAGGCGGACGAAAAAGAGTCGCAACTAAAGAAAGTGGCGAGCAAATATGACGATGCAGACGATGGAGCCGACTCGGAGGACTCAAGTGACTCCGATAGTGACAGGTACGTGTTGATCTTTAGTTGGTTAACGTTTATTTTCTCGCTAACAAATTGTAGCGCTAGTGACGACGAAGATGAAGAGGCTGAATTGATGCGAGAACTGGAGAAAATCAAGCAGGAGCGGGAAGAGGAACGTCTTCGAATAGAAGAAGAGGAGCGGAAGGCGGCTGAACAACAGTCACGCGAAGAGATCCTCCAAGGCAACCCGCTCACTCAACAAGCTGCAGGTAGCGCCAAGATGAAGCGTCGATGGAACGACGACGTGGTCTTCAAGAACCAGTCTCGCAATGAGCCCGAGGTCAAGAAGCGCTTCATTAACGACACAATCCGCAACGATTTCCACCGCCGCTTCCTAAGCAAATACATCGCGTAAAAGCAGGCAGTGCTCTGTCCTTAGAGGCGAGCTGTAAGGAATGGAATCATATACTTTTCATGAATTACTCGCTCCTGTTGAGTCGGGTTGTTAGCCGACGAATTAACGTACTTTGACTATCATCCCACCCACGAACTTGTGCACCGCCACCTCCTCACCAGCGTCATTAGTCGCTTGGGCCTTGACGTACTCGCCGTCTTGCTGGAGACCACTCGGAAACTTTATCATGCAGTTGCCAATGGGATTCCCATCCTCAAAGCGTCCGACGTACGAGCCTCCGTCCTTGAAGACCCATTTCCCGTTCGTAATGGTGTTATCAGCCCATTCTCCGACGAATAGACTCTTGTCAGCAGCGAACTCGTACGTGTCTTTACCCGAGCGGATGCCGCTTTCGAATCTGCCACTGAAGATATCCCCGTTCGCGTACATGAAGGATCCTTCACCCGTCATCTTGTCAGCCTTCCACTCTCCATGGTACACGTCTCCGTTGGCAAACATCATTTTCCCCAGTCCATTCTTGCTGCCGTTCACGTACGTCCCTTCGAAAGTCGCGAGAACGGACACTAACAAGTAAGCCAGTTAGAAGATATTCATTGCGATAAACAGCGCTGGAATCACTCACGTTCTCCCTCCGCATCCCGCTGATTCCAGGTGTATTTCCCCTCACCGTGCTTCAGGAGATCTGGACCGATAGTCCCTTCGAACGTGTCCCCGTTAGCGTAAGTGATCTTCACTTCGCCCTCGCGACGCAAATACTTGGCCTCCTCCGGACGATCGTCCACATAGGTCACAGAGTATTCCTGCGTGAAAAGTTAATAACTCATGTATTGCTGTCGAAATACTTAACTCTGCATCTTACCACGTCGTCGCTCATGCTAGTGTTTTACAGGTACTTCGATCAATGTGATGCGACTTTACACGATAGATCGCAACACCAAATATAGTGAACAAAGTCATTCAGTGTATTGTGTCTAGCTCACTTCGACTGGTGCTTTAGTGAGTAATTCCCTCAAGTAGCGGGTTAAACTGAAGTCCCAATGCGACACCAAGAACCAACATGTGCGGGAACCCATTGGCGACGAGGTTTCCCACGATAGCTAGGTACGGGATGTACAGCATGGGGTGGTGGTGGTCCAACAAATGAAGCAGCGGGATCTTAATATCCCTCCAGAACTCGTAGCCACCGTTCACGTTGAGATAGATGATGTGGTCGCTGCCGGGTACACGCACTTCAAAGGGCGTGAGCGCACGGCAGAACACAGCCAGGAACGTGGTCAGGATGCAAGAACTAACAAAGCTTGAGCCGTGCATACCGCCGTGACCGGTAGTGATCTGTTCACAGCATTTATCGTAAGAAAGCTGGGTATTGATTCAGCTTCGACATGGTGACGTACGTATAGGCACACGGGCAGGAACCACAGGTGGTGAGTTGCGAAGAACGTCTTGGAGAAGGAGCGGTTCTCCGGGTACGTGAGGTACTTCATGGCACCGGTAATGAACTTGCCGTTCAGTACGAATGATAGAGTGTCGATGTACCAGAGTAGCTGGTCTCCTGACACCGTTACCATCTACACAAAAAATATAACCAGATTAGCATTACCTCCGTCAATTTGAAGATTTTGCGACGAACTCACCGCCACGCCGACCAGGAAGGGCTTGGAGAAGTAGAGAGCCATAACCACCAGCACGAGGGATACATTACACGCCCACAGCATCTCGTACAAGACGTATGTGCCTGTTGCATCGACCAAGTGCGGTTAGTATGAAGGTGGCGTCGCTGTGGTGTGATCGACTACTGTTCGTACCATGCTCGTAAAAACGGGAGATAGCCATCATGACCGTGTACAGCGCGACAAAAGCCCCCACTTTACTGTGACCATAAACAAACATCAAAAAGTTAATTAACGTGCGTCCTTCGCATTCGCCTATGCTGTCGCAAGTGCACGAACGGGAAGCTGAAGTTGTCGTCCTGTTCGTCCGCAGCGAAAAACTCGTCCATCTGGAGCGCCAGCCACGAGACAGCAGCATAACCCAACACCAGGACGGCGAGGACACGCGGTAGGTCATTCTGCGAGACTTGCACGGGCACAGGGGGCGTGGGAGGCATGCTGTAAGTCAGAGCGATGATACTGGAGGGAAAATGGCGCGCGTCGTGCGATTTTTGCTTACGTCACATACCGGTATTACCGGTACAATCTCTATTGTTGATGACGCGCCTTTGATGACGCGCCATACTGCTTCAAGTAGCGCTGCAAGTCCATGCTGTTGGCGTACGTGGTGGCCTGCGCTACGCCTCGGTGAAGGTACAGCCGCAGCAATTCATTCGTGTAACGTAGCAAGTCCGGCATGGCCTCCTGCTCGTCGCCATTGAAACGTCCAAGCACGTACTTGTCCATCGCCGTCCCTGACGGTGCACCGCTGTTACCTCCAACAAACCAGTACGGTGCACCCACGCCAATGCGAAGTCGGGCGAAGCGCTCAGTGCCTGCGCACTTAATGATATCACGCACACCGTTCTGGCCGCCAGGGCCTCCTTTCGCCTTGAAGCGGCACTCGCCGAACGGTAAAGACACGTCGTCCGTGACCACGAGCAGCTCGTCCTGTCGATTCAAAGACAGGGGGTTCTTCTTGAGTCGCCAGCGGTGCGACTGCATGAAAGCGCGAACTGCAGTGCCCGAGCAGTTCATGTACGTCGTCGGAAGCAGTAGCGCAACGTTTACTTCGTCGTGAGGGACACCCTCTTTCAGAGTGCGTTCTTTGGCGCGCTGTGATGAACGGTTCACCAAGTCGTCGACTGGGTAAACGTAGTCCTTGTCATCTACATTTTGCTGGAATGCAACACGGAATCGCGCCACGTCCCCATGATTGCCAGCTTCATGCTGCAGCTCCAGGTGCTTGCCCTATGCATCAAAAGCAGTAATACCCACTCTAATGTCAGTATCGGCGTTAATGGAAGCTCAAATGCGCTGCATCGAATCCGTAGAGTTGTTAGCAGCCACGCACCGTCACATGTGATGCGTACGTCTCCAGGAAGTGCCTCACTGCAACAAAGCCGATGTTGTGCCTGGATTAAGCAGCAGCACACGAGCGCACTCAATCAACATACGATGCTAACTTAAGCCCAGTAGAAGGCATTCTTCGCACCTCGTGTTAATGTACTTGTCGCCAGGGTTGCCCAGCCCAACGATGAGTTTGCGGACGTGGTCGTACTTGGGTGAAGTCGCCGTAGCTGCAGCGTTCTCGCGATCTTCACCACTCAGCTCGCTGGGATCATCAGCTGAGCTGGAGAAGCCAGCCGCGAGCAGGTTCCCGCGTTGACGGAGCGGAATTCGCAGCGCTCGACACAACATCTTGCTGCTGCAAGTGAAATGTAGCCGACTCAAATTAGTCTAAAAGGGTTGCGCCCATGTACACCACAAATCACAAATTTGTGGAGCCATGACCAAATCCAAGCTGCGCCAGCGTCTGTCGGCGGTGTACCAGGACTCGGTGAAGCCCTTCGTAGTGTGCACGTTGGAGTTATATCTCTCACTGCTGCTCGTGGTGTCGCTCTTCCAATGCCCCGATCCAAGTAGGCGAGACGTGCAGGAGCTACATACCACGTATTACATGGCATGGGTTCCTCTACTCTGCACGGTGACGCTGCTCTACAGCCCCAAGCTGTTGGGCAAATACGGTCCAAACCCGGACAACTTCGACCGCAACCTCATGGGGCTGAAAATCACTATGTGGGTCTACGCGTTTGTGGAGCTTGTGCTGGACAAGAACATGGTGATCAAAAGCGGGCCGGCGCTGTCTGTAGCCATTATCTTTTGTGTCTGCGATATGCTGCGCTTCCAAATGGAAGCAATGCGGCTAATCTACGATGACGAAGAGCTAGAGGACGAGGTCGACCGCCTCGCCAATATGGTCATTACAGCTCTGGAGGACAGCGACGACGAGACCGCATTCAAACACGCAGTCCGAGAGGTCATCCAGAGGAACCGCAACCAGTCGGAAATCGCTGCAATGCACGAAATCTCCGGTGAATGCCAAGACACTATCGTCAGCTCTCCATTCGAGAAACATATCAGCTCTAAAGAACTACATGACAAGGAGAATGGCACCACCGAGTACGGGACATTGACCAGGAGCCGCGATCCATTATAGTCTGTAATAGTCCTAATAAAATGTATCCAGGTTGCAAATCACTTAAACAACTCGTGTGGTCAAGATGATGCATCGACGCGCGCTGGCCAAGACGCTGCGCGAGGCGTCTCCGTTCTTTCTCATCGCCGGGCCATGCGTACTGGAGTCAGAGCAGGTCGTTATGGCTATTGCAGACCGGTACGCAGAGCCACAGCAGAGTATTCACTGTGTTGAAGCGTCTCTAATGACAATTATCTATTTGATCATTGCAGCTTGGCCGCAGTACAGAAGAAGCTGGAGATCCCTGTAATCTTTAAAGCGAGTTTCGACAAGGCCAACCGCCAGGACCTCACGAGCTACCGAGGACCTGGGCTGGAACACGGCCTCGAGATGCTGCAGCAAGTGAAAGATGCGACAGGTCTACCAGTGCTCACTGACGTGCACGAGACGCACCAAGTGGCTCCAGTGGCGGAAGTGGCGGATGTCATCCAGATCCCAGCGTTTCTGAGTCGACAGACGGATCTTCTCGTGGCCGCTGCGAATTCCGGGCGACTGGTGAATCTCAAGAAGGGGCAAATGCTCTCGGCGGAGACAATGGTACTTTAAGTTCGCTTGTTCTATATGTGGATGCCTAGAGTTGACGGTGAAATGTTGTTTTGATACTTTAGCTACTAGCTGCCAAGAAGCTTGCAATCACACAGGATGACTCTGGTGCAGTGATATGGCTGGCAATTTTGAATTTGATGAGGCTAACACGTGTATGTGCACAGACTTTATTCTGACAGAGCGTGGAAGTATGTTTGGCTACGGTGACTTGGTGGTGGATGCAAGGAATCTCCCGAAGCTGCGGCGGTCGAATGGACTCGTGGTTCAGGATGTCACCCACAGGTAAGACCTCGCAGTTTAGGCCTCGTAGAGGTATAAAGCAAAATCTAATATGGTGTCTGAAGTATTCAACGACCGAGTGGAGCACACGCTGGCGCTACAACGAGTGGAGGTGATCGCGAGTTTATCCCTACTATAGCGAGAATGGCTGCTGCTGTAGGCGTTGACGGCTTCTTCTTTGAGACGCATCTTGATCCGACGAAGGCTCTCTGTGACGCGGCTACCATGCTGCCAATTGATGAGCTAGAACCTCTTCTCGAGGAGCTTATCGCAATCTCTAGAGCATCCAAGGCGTTATCATAACAAAATCATCAGTGAAATACAACTCGATGATGCTACGGATCACGCAAGCTCTCTTCGACGACCGGCAGCGGGTGATCTTTCTTCCAAATCTTCCTCATCATGCGATTGATTTTCCTGTTGAATCGATCAGGTCGTGGCTGTTTCGTCTTCGGGTTCACTGACCGGCATCTGGGCTTTGGTATCTTCGGTTTTCGAGGAAGTCGGCAGTGCTCATGGTCACCATCTTGTTGATTTGCTGTGATATTTCCAAGAACTTTGGTCCGTATTCCGATGTATTGCTCCATAGAGGCCATCCGTTTAACCTTCCGCACCATTTCGTGCTTGTATTGGCCAGCTAAACTCTCGGTAAATGCTCCTTTACGCACGTCTTCAACCTTGATGGCAGGTAACGTCTGCTCTTGTTTGCTTTCAGGTGAGTTTTCGTATCTTGCGTATAGATTGTTAGATGCCTTGTGAAGTCTGGGAAAGTCAGAAACAGCGAGCTTTCTTGGGGTGATCGGGGTATTAACCCGACTTCCTTCGGGCGAGTTTTCAGGGACAGCTTCGAGTTTTTCGGATTGGTTCGAGTTGGCGATAGGAGACAACATATTTTGAGCAGCGATCTTGATACTTGGGCTTCGATGTCTTCGTGGCGCTAACAAACTTGGAGGTACTGGTTGTACCAGTTGCTCTGGTTGAATTTGTCCATACGCAGCAGCAGGCCTAGAATGCACCGCAATTGTTCTTTTGCTTACAGAGGGTTCTCCAACGGAATGCAGCGACGTGGTTGATGCATGAATGCTGTCAGTTGAAGTCTGCAGCTTTGGCATGAGTTTGTTTTTCTTCGCATTCGCGCTTTTTTGTCGGTCTTCTTGCTTCTTCTTCGACGCTACGAGGCCTGGACAACATGCGTCTCCAGTCGTGTGATCTGGATTTCCGCACCAGCCACAAAGGCACTTCCCGTCTTGCATCATAGCCTTAGTAGAGCTGTTGTATTACACATAGTAAGCGTTAGTTGAGCAATCAAAGCAATTAAATGTCAAGACCTCGGACTTACATAGTGAGAATCAACCCAGGGTTTGCAAGAGCCAGCTTTACCCGCGTCTTTCGCCAATTCTCTCGAGCTTCAGCCAGTTTGCGAAATTTACTAAACGATTCTCGAATGTGATCCAGTGCGTGCATGTAAAAAAGTTCCTTCCAAGTTTCTCTCTATCATAAATAATACTTAGTAGTAAGCCAAACATACAGGTTAGCACTTCACATGCCAGCAAAACAGGGTACTTACGTCCATGGCGAGAGCCTTCACATCCGTCACTTACACAAACCAAACGTATCAGTATTTATGATATCCGGACGCAGCAAGAAATAAAGAGCACGTACCAGCAAGCAAGTCTGTACTGCACGTCGGCTTATTGAAAATGACTGGATACTCAGCACAAATGTCGTGGTCCTGATACAAACTGAGCTCGAGTTCAGTGCGACGTCGCTGCTGGTTACTGCATTTTCCTCCTAGCCCCTGCATCCTCCGTTTCGCCAGGTTGCTTTCAAGTTCTGCACAACGCTGGATACTTCCGTTCTCGTTTAAAAGCTGAACCATAGGAACAGTCTCCTGAACCAAGCCAGCGTAAATGAAGAACACAACATTGGCCTCGGCGCCAATTCGAGTGAGATAGCTATCTGCTGTGTAGTGTACTTGCTTCAAGCGGTTGGATAGTCGAGTGAGTTCACCATGAGGCCAGCCTTCGAAGAAGTACATGGTCTCTAAAAACTCGATCTGCGTAAAGTCGAGCTGAGAGGAGTTCGTAACTCGGATAAGCCGTTGATAAGCTCCTCTCTTCAGGCAGATAAAGGATGTAGGTTCATCACACGTAATGGTACACGACCGTCGTGCTGTAGGGTCCATCACAGCCAGCTCACCGAAGGTTCCACCGTCAGTGATATGCTTGATGAACGCGCCATAATGACCCGGCTTCAACCTCACGTCCTCTTCATCAGTCGATAAAGTATTAGCGTTGTTGTCTTCATCGGCCGCAGTTTTTGATTTGGATTTTGCATTGATGAAGAGAGATACTGAGCCCGATATAACGATGTAGAACGTGTCGCCATAGTCTCCTTGATAGCATACCACACCATGTGTTGGTAATTCCAGCAACGTCATCTCACGACAAATAGTTTTACAGATAATCTCTTGAGCACCTTGGAAGATCTTGTTGGTGCTGCCGTTCTTAAGCACCCAGTCGTATAACGTGTCGATTTCTTGCGTTTCACGTACTTCAGGGGCTTTCTGTAAAATGCGATAAATCTCTTTCACTTCTTTCTGGCGTTCACGCTGAGACTCAGTTTCCAAGTGCGACTGAACTTGGTCTTGTAATTGGCATAGGAACGAATTCTTCCGTAGTGTGGGGAATCGCTTGAGTGCAGCAGAATTCATAGGCGGCTTCACCGGCGGCAAAGACGCCTTGGCACCGTCAGCGGGAGGAAGAAAAGATACCTGCATTGACATATCTTCACAGAAATACGATAGTGGTGTTAGCAAAGTCGTCGGGGAGAAGCAATAGCTCCCTAAAAATACAAGCAGACGCTTTAAACGTTATCCAGAAATGCCGTTGATGATCATCAACGTTGCCTGTTGCAGGTACATTATGCCTGTATTACCCACTTCAATTGACGGAGCACCTTGTAGTGCTGCGCCGTACCGAACGAACATTTGTCAGCAATAAACTGCAGAGTAAATCTACAGGTTCTTCTTACGAAGCACCTCGTTGGCGGCTTCTTCTTCCTCGGTCACATCGCTACGGTGGATGAGGTAGCGGAAGTGCTGCGCCGAGCGGATCTCCATCTCGAACGACATGAGGAACTTCTTGTCCACAGGGTCCACCAGGTGCAGAATACGGTACTGCTGGTCGCGGTTGGCCTCGAACCAAGTGTCACAACGGTCGAAGAACAGCAAGTTGTTCCACTGCATGGAATCGTTGTAGGCCTTGTCGTAGAATTCCTTGAAGCGATCGATGTGGATGCACACGTGGTGGCCGTCGTACTCGCCCTTGTTGTCCTTCTGGGACTCCTGTTCGTCAAAGACGATCGCCTGCAGGGGTCCACAGAACACCGTGGTGTGGTAAAGCTCCACATTGTCCTCCTTCTTAGTGACCACGGTCTTGGCGCCCAAGTAGTGCTCGAAGAAGCGAGAAATACCCTGAGCAATGCCCGGACGGCAGGGGTATACCAGGAACGGAAGACCCTGAGCCACACCAGGAACGTCGTTCGTCACGGGCAGCGTCTTACCCAGCGACAGGTTGATGGAGTTGTAATTACGAGGCGTAACGTTGAGGCGCAGCTCGTTGCCGTACGGGTCATTCACCCTGAGGTGGTCGTACTTGGTTGTGTCGAACAGATCGTGCCATTTTTCCTGCGGGTAGTCGATGGTGGTCTCTCCGCCACGGTTGATGCGTTCGAAGGCGAACTTGGTGTCCTTAAGCTCGTCGGCCACGGACTTGAGGCTCTTCTCGATGGCGTCTAGGTCAGGCACGTACAGGTAGATGGCGGCATTGATGCACTCGTTCTTGGGCTGGCCAGTGAACAGATGGAACTGGTGGCGGCCGCCATAGTTGGCCCAGAAGTGATAGGCCAGACGAGGATCGCGCGAGCATTGGAGACCGCGCATGTAAAAAATGTAGGCAGGCGACGCCTCCGTGCACTTGTCCGTATTGGACAGGTTGATGTGCTCCAGGAACTTGAGGTTGCCTGCGTCCTCGAAGGCCTTGATCACCTCCTCCTTGCTCCAGGTTACCTCGCTCATAGTGCCTTTGATTCGGGTGTGTCGGATTCTGTCAATTGCGTCAATTGCGGAATGGCTCTGCAAGGATTTCCTTGTCGAGTGTGTGGTTCGGGCGGATGGCTACATCAAAGTAATAGGCTCTCTTTAGTTATTATTTCTTCTCTTATTCTTTTAGCAAGGTGTTTTTTCTACAGGATCTTCATAGGATTTGTTTAGTTCCCCTTCAATAATGCATATTCGCTTGATTATTCTAGATAAGAGGCATTTCCTGGTCAAATGCAGGCGGGACCAATCGCAGCACCGCATTTCGACAACGCATTCCGTCGGTGTGGAATACAAAAACACGCAAACGAAATGTTTTTCACACAACCTCTCTTATCTAATATGACCAACACTCTGCATTGAAGTGAAGAGACGGCAACGGTTTCCGCACTCGCGAAGATCCCACCGCCAATGGAGCCGAAGTCCGGCAAGCTGCACAAGGTGCTGTTTTCCTGGCATAATGTGTGCGTGTGTGTGTGTGTTAAGTACGTTAACCCGTATTCCTTTACGTCGATGCAGCTCGGATTGGGCTTCTTTGGGCCCAAATGGACCGAGAAGTGGGTACATCTGGATGGCACGTTGCTCAAGTGCTTCCCCATGGCCGTGGAGCAACAGATATTCTCGCTTGGCAGCTCGCGTCGGAATAGCTCCTATGAGCTCATGGACTACAAGTTTGCGGTGGCCGACGAGGTCCGTTCACTAAAATAAAACAGCACTAGGGCGCGAACTGACATTTGCTACATTCTTGTAGAAAAAAGTGAACCGCAAGTTTGCCTTCCAACTAGAGGCCAAAACGAAGGTGATCCTCGCATAATATATAACATAATGACGGGTGAAGTAGTGCTAATAGATCTGTGAAGTCGTCAAAGTCAGTGACGTTTGCGTGCTCGTCCGAGAAGGAGCTGGCGGAGTGGAGGTTCGCACTTACGGTATGTGTGCACTCTAATTGCGAGGCTGAAAGTGAGGGATTGAGTACACGTTGCCTTTTTTGTAGTCGCGATTATGCCTTCCCGCTGATGCTCCTGTTTCTCCGGTGTATGATCAATTCAACATGAGGATGAGAAGTTGAAAAATGACATCGTGTTGTGTGTGCGCAGAATCACCGAGAAGATTCGTCGTGCTGCTGAAGCCTTCTCAGAGGCATGTTTCAGTTCATTTAACGAAAAGCACGGCTACACAATGTATTGACATGGAAATCCCATGATGGGACTGTTGATTTGACTGCAGATTGATCCACGGAACACAGGGAAAATCGATTCTGGAAGACTGCGTGGATTGCTTCAAACTATATCCTCTACATCAGACTCTGACGCGTACATGTTTGAACTCACGGTGCTCTGTGTTATTCCTTACATCAAAGTCGTTCTTGTTTTGATGCTTTCACATAGGCTGGGAGTGGAAGGACTCGGAGATATCGTTGATGCGCCAACAACTTGACCTTGGTCGCCATGGAGTCATTACTCGAACAAGGTTATTGACTTGGCTTCAGAGCTACTATTGTGCACAAGAAGTAATGGCTCGGGTGACATCGGAGCGAGCGAATAATCAGATTGCAGTAGAAGTTATCAAGCCTCCAGAGCAGCCGGAGAAAATCTCGTCGGGAAGCTCAAATACGCGTGTCTCGGCATCAAAAAGCTTACTTTGCCAAGGAAAAGCTGATTGGAACCAAAGATATAACGCCCTCCGAGCTCCGGATCCTTCAAACGATTTGTTAACTACCGGATCAGAAGTATCAGGAATTCTAGCAGAGTTTCGACAAGCAGCCGAGATACTAGTGAGTGAAATCGTGGCTGAGATGGCACTAGAGGATATGGAAAAGACTTTGCGGCCTCAAAATTTTGATGGAGACGAGTTTTTTGCGACGGATGATGTTCAGCAGTATAGCGCGCTGCTTCCTGTGATGCAGAAGTTCCATCGTGATGGACTCCTGGTTTACTTGTGCTCTAACAGTTCATCAAGTGGTGGAGCCCATGAAAAGAAGCAAAACGCAGCGTCAGTGGCCATTTTCCACAGACTGGTCGGCCACCAAGTTCGTGCTGCGAGGGTACTACATGAGGCAATCGAGGAATTCAACAACGATACCCAGTCAAGCTGGCAGGCCATTACACTACAGATTCCGCTTCAGTGCATTGTAGATCATCTCGGTTTCCGAGCATTCGTTATTGCGTCTACAGACCCAGTGGTGAAAAGTACACGACGGAAATTGAACAGCCAAGCGAAGAAGAATCACGTCAAGCGACTGTACGACCAGTTAAAACTTGTATTCGACAATCTTGGACTTCTCACTGATAGCCTTCACACTGAAGGTGACGACCAAAATGTTTCGTCTTCCAACGTTAATGTTCCAGCCTTCTTTCCTGTCAGTGCTGGGTTTACTGTCGAGACACGAGATGGCGCTACAGTATTCAAGTTGCAGAATCTTGCCGATCTTATCCCTGCCGATGTATCAAGCGATGATCCTGGAGCAATTGCTCACGAAGTTTTACTGTACAAAATGCGCCCTGAATTCGTTCGGATGCATGGGAACAGCTTGCCGCTTCATTCTAATACCCACACAATCATCGAACAGGAATCCTCTGCGAAACAACCGGCCTCAAATAAGTCTCAGCTAGAGACACAATTGCTTCAGCAATCCGCTATAAGTGCGCAAGAATGCTTGCAAACTGTCATCATTCCAGAATTTGTTGCAGATTTGGAAAACGGAGCAGTTCAAGTGATTGACAGTCAGTCGTTGACTCGGGCGTTGCACGGAGCTGGCATCAATGTTCGCTATCTAGCTTGTTGCTACGAGCTGGCATCCCTCAAACACATCCGTCGGGCCTTGCTTGCAGAGATGGTAGCTCGCGCTTGCAAGGTCGAATTCAGAGCGTCACTGCGAACGATTCTTCCAGAAGCTACAGCTACGATATTAAGACAGGCTAAAACACCCGAGACCTGCGGCTCTAATGATGACTATGAGGACAACAGCGACATTAATCATGCCACAGCTCGAGCACTTGCAAAGTTGGCTCTCCAAGAACAAGCTTCACAAGTAACGATGGAGTTTTTCAACCTTGTGCTCGGTACTTCGTCTCCAGATTCGAAAACATTTTGGGAAGAGAGGATTCTGCCGCAGGTTTATGCCAAATTCGGCATTGCACGCGAAGCACTTAGCCTGGACGCTATCGTCAGCGAGGACTTACTTCACATGCCACAGTTGTTCCACGCGCTTCAAGTCCAGACTGGTGTGTGCTTCAGCGACCACATGAATTACAGTTTTAAAGGCGCAAAACCTCTTACTCTCCAGCACATTCAATGCATAAGTCCCTGTACGACACTGTTGGCTCGAACAACGGTTGCATGTGAAAGAGTTTTGCAAAACGCCGACGCTTTCCTCGCCGAGAGAGAACTGAGCAGTGCACTCTCAAGCATCATGTTCCATATCTCCATACTGGAAACCGCTCCAAGTGACGAACGCAACTTGTCGCTGTGTCATTTGCTCACTTGCGCTGCCAATATGTCACTGGCGATGAACTTGCCCGATCAAGCAAAGAAGTTAGCAACCTTAGCGATTGAGGAATCTCCGAATAATCACGCTGAGCAGACACGAGCGTACACGATTCTCATGAAATTTAAGCATGCCTCTGGTGACCTGGCTGGTGCTCAAGAGTGTTTTGCAAAGGCGTTGGAGCCCATTCAGTGGCACCTCGGACCCGTTCATCCTTTGCTTTGCGATACGTACATGATTATGACCGAAATCCTCGGCGATCTGGGTGAACCGGAGCAAGCAGTGGAAATCCTGCAGAGTTGCGTGGCACTTGTGCGCGATTGCTTTGGTAAGACTAGTCTTCTTTACGCTGATATCAGACGGCAGCAAGGAATGCTGATGTTGGCAGCAAACCCCATCGATGGCGAGGCGATAATTGGGGTGTTGGAAGACGCGTTCTCCGTGTACGAGAAGCATTTCCAGGATCCCGTGGAGGACGTGCCAATGTACAAAGAGTTTGCTGCGGAATGCTGTTATCTGCTTGCAAATCTACGAACACAAGTAAGTGGGAGTCAAGCTGCCCAAGCGGCTTACGGAACTGCTCTCACAGGCCTCGCTCTTCGAAAAGAAGTGCTGCCACAGAACCATGAGGAAATAATGAAGTCATACCTGCAACTTGGAAGCTTATCACGAGAATTAGGAGAACACTTTCGGGCAGTGGATTACCTTAAGCCAGCACTTTCCATTCTCAAGACAATCCACGACGATGAACACATCGACCAGATTCGCAGCGTCACCCAAACTATGCTTCAGTTGCATCTCCAGACGCTATCGCTGGAAAAGCGCAACGTAAGTTCTTCAATTCGTTAACTACGTTATATTATAGTACACTTTACTAACTTGTCATTCCTTCGCTTTCCTATGGCAGATCCTCGATAAAACAGCAACTCGCTTCACCCAGCAATGCTCACGTTTTGCGTTACTATCTGCAAAAATGCTGCCAGAGAACTCAGCTATCACTGGATCAGACGATGACGTTAGTGAAGAGTCATCGCTACTATTATGCGTCATGAAGAAGCTCTTCCAGCTCGATCCGATCGAGTACGCCGACCAACTCATAGAGAAGACGGATCTCGAGTTCCAAGACTATCGCAAGCAGTACAACCTCAACTTCGCCGGTACGGTACGTCGCAGTAACGCTGACGCGCCATCGCCAACGCGCTCAATGCTTCGTTCATCAAGCGGTCGATTCGCTTCCTTCTCTGGCGCCGGGACTTTCTCGCCTCCAGGTTCCCCTCGTGCTCCTCTGTCTCCAATGCGTCACCCCACACTCTTCCCAACTTCTCCTCGCGGTCGCACGTCCTTCAACCAACTGGACTGCAACTTCCTCAAGACCAGCACTGGAGACTTCACATTCGGCGCACAACTAGCCGCCGTGCTCTTCCTCATCGATCATCCTGCCGCCAACAGTACTCCATCCGAGCCTGTAGACACCAAAGTGTAGCCATGCTTACTTCAACATGTCACTAATCAGAATAATGACATAAAATCACAATTACTTTTTCGAATATGGCGCCTGTGCCAGCCTGGACGCGCGAGTGGCGGCCGCTCGCCAAGCAGCTCTGTGCGCACATTAGCGGCAGTAACCAGGACCACGAAGAAGATCAGTCTTCGCTCTCAAAGGAGGCACTGTTGCTGCGTGCCGACCGCGTCGTGGGGAAGCTGTACTCGCATCGATTCGTCGACTCTCTTCCACAGGACGTCCATGCTCAAACCCAAGCGCTCGCCACAAAGTTCCGCGTACATTCTCTTGAAGAACGAGCTGACAAATTGCTGGAATTGGCTCCGCAATGCGACTATCAAGTGTTAAAGCTTTTACTGGAGCTGGCGACGTCCCCGACGACCGCTACGGACCAAGAAGTGGAGGTGGATCTAGATTCTAAAAGCAGATGGAATATGGTGCTGCAACAGGAGCAACTCAAACTCCAGCAGCACAAGATGATGCAGGACCAACTAGTCGAAGAGCTCTTCCAGATATCCACCAATGACGAGTGGTACCAGGCCTGGGAGGACAGTGACGAGGACGAGAGCGACTGGGACATGAGCAGTGCAGATGAAAGTGCAGTCGAGAGCGAACGCAGTGTTGACACTCGTCAACGCAATGCCAAGAGATCGTGCGAAGCGTTAGAGGACGATGAATTTTCTAGACAACAGGAAGGGAGCAGTGAGAGCTCAGAGCAAGCTACACGACAAGGGATGGAGAGGAAACGAATGGAATTATCGGGCGAGGAATTGCAGCAAGATGAGATGCTGTGTCGGTATTATCCTGAAGTTAGTATACGAGATATGGAGATTGACGATATGGAACTCACATGTGAGCTGGAGACGAGAAAACTGGTTCCGTTTACGCTGGAGCGACCGTGGTTACTATGTGAAGCAGTGGTCAGAAGCGCAGATAGCACAGTGACAGCAAAGAATATCGTCGCAAACAGACTGATTCACGAAGAAACTGTGGTGAGAATGATTTTTGAGGCGCTGCATGGAGTTGAGTCGTATTTGTTTGAATTCCAGCCAGTGAGACCTTCACCCTCGATCTTCAGTATCGATTTTCAAACGAAGATTGTTGAGCGGTCTCGGAAGTCATTAAGTACGGCGATCGGACATATCTCGCCTTCGGTTTTACAACATACACTGGAGGATTTCATGCATGCAGCGACTGATCTGCAGATACTTCGAGATTTCCTTGGGTTTATCCGTCGAGCATGGGACTTAAGTGAGCAACACCGGTGTGTGACACTAGAGGGCTTGGCAAATGCACTGTCCGATGTCATAAGAAGCTTGACGGACTCAATATGTAACGTAGAGCAGCAGACCAACGTTACAACTGGATTACAAGAGGACTCAAGTCCGTGGTCTGGAATTAATCCTCGACAGCCTACTTTGATCGGAATTTATGGTGGGCTGAAGGAGATTTTCAAGATGATTTCGTGGCTGAAAGGGGTATTAGTGGGGTGCTTTAATGGCCTCTCGGATCGTCATTGGCATGAAGTGAAGCGTGCAGAGCAAGCGAAGTGCGTGCTTGACTCACTGTACCACAGTATGGAAGTTGAATACGTTGAAGGTGTGACAGCCGACGAAGCTGCAAGAGACTCAGGGCTTTTATCACGATCCGATGTACTGTTGCATTTATTTATTGGAGCGTTGAACCCGTACTTGGATTTGATAAGCCGGATGATCTTCGAAAGGGGTCATTTTGAGACGATTCCTCTGGATGGAGAGTCGTTTTTCGCTACTCCTCCGTCAATGAGCGTTGGTGCTTCTCCAATTCGCGAAAGAAACCGAAGCTTTCGCGATGGACTGATGTCACTGGCTCCGTTCGAAGTCAATCGATCTCTTGTGCCGACATTCCTAGAGTTAATAATACCCTTGATGAACGAGGCATTGGCGAGTCGACAGCTGAAGAACCGATTTTTGCAGCAACAGCAACACGCACCATTTGAACCCCTGACGAAGCCTGGGCAACCTGATCTCTCTTTACAAGAGTCTTTAATAATGGAACTTGAGACGATCGGGTACAGACGAAATCGTGGCATTATTTCGGTCTGTAAAGCTAAGACTTGGGACACCGAAGAAGACCCACTTTCCATGCAGGAAACACTACTGGAGTGTGTGCCTTTCAACAGGATATTAGAACGATGTCTCACTAGACACCTCGAGAACAAGGTAACATAGATAACCTCTGAACTTGCTCGTCAAAGTCGCTGTTTGTGGTGTTTTAACTCTTGCTCATTTGTGTCTGATGCGTACAGTGTCATGAACTAAATGGTGAGATTACTGATATCTTTCGAGATAAACTGAACTACATGGAGCACGTAAAAGCTCTCCGGATGTTCGTTCTCATGGAACAGGTACGCAATTTGCATACAAGATGCTTTACACAAGGCTATGACTTATTTTGGGTGGTTCACGTACGACAGCAAGACGTTTTCAACGTTTTCAGCGAAAGATTGGTTGCTCACATGCAAGAGAATCCAATCGCATGGGCTGACAGCGAGAAGATTAACTCATTTCTTCAGAGTGCGGTTCAAGGAGTGTTCGAGGACAATTCGTTGTCATCTTCCCAGAGGCAAATTGGTGGTCGACTATCTGTCCGTGTTGACTTCAGCCTGTTGGATAGCACTTCACGTGGTGCAAGAATCGATATCGCAACTATGAAGTGTTTGCACTTTACATTTGCTGCGCAACAGACGCTTCGAGTACTTTTCAGCGCATCGATCATGCAGAAATACTCTAAACTTGGCGTTTTCCTCGTTCAGGTGAAGGCTGTGGAGTCCGCCTTGGTCAAGGTACGTGGCTCCGTAACAGCATCACGTGCTTGGGACTGCCTAACCCGTGCTGATATTTCTATCACTTGCAGTTTAAGTCTAGCCTTCGCCATCGTCGAAGCTATTCGTAGTATGTAAACGGCAGCTTCTACTAGTGCTGTTGTGTTGTTGGGACTCACATTCTTTCCCTTTAGTATCGAAAAGGACATGCGTCAACTGCTTATTCAAAGCGCTGATATGCTGCATTACACCAAGAGTTTGCTGAGTTATCTTACCAGTCAGGTAGGATATGATCCTCGACAAAGTATCGAGCCTGGTTGTATTCACTTCTACAATATTCGACGACAGATAGCAAGTGCAGGATGGTTAAAATATCGCCATATCCTGCAATCGTCACGAAGCTTGGCAGAGGTACGGGATTTACTTTGTTGTTTAAGTCTACCACATCGATCTGTACTGACGCTGCTGTCGTTGATACCCAAGATGGACGCAACTCACGAGCAGTATCTCGATCTCTTACTAAACCGTTTTTTTCTTCTGGACAAGGTGTGAACAGTGTAGTTTTGCTGATTCCGAAATGTGGCCGGTACCTCTAACACGAATATTTGCTTTGGCTTATAGCACGCGACTGTGATCCAGTACATTTTGACGACCTTCAACCACATTTTGCGCTTTGTTCGCCAAGTCGATGAATTTGTCAGCGCTGTAGATCGAAACATGCAGAAATACTTTCCCGATTACTGCAGTGATGAAGACTCGGATCAATTAGCTACCCCACGTGTTGGCAAAGCGCCGAGTGTCCGCCTGCTGGAGCACCCCGATTTCCGCTCCCTTGAGTCAGAATTGGCAAGAAGTTCAAGAGAGTTCAAGCGGCAGTCGCATTTCCTGGTTGTTATGCTGACAGCCATGCAGAAGCACGGGGCGTCGCCTCATGTGAACGAAATAGTGACCCAGCTCAACTACAATTACTTCTACCACCAGCAAGAGAGCCGATCACGAACACAGCCCCAAGTTCAGCAGCAGCGTCCAGTCAAACAAGTGAACCAAGCCCAAGCTCTTCCACTCAATCGATCAAGGTCGCTGCGTCCTCCACCGGCTCCGAAAAAATTCTCACGAACCGGATCTGTGCCGTTATCATAGACTACGCCTCGTAGGAGTCGCAAACGTAATTTAATTCGTTTGACCAACTTTGCTATACAGGTTTTACTTCAAAGTTCTCAATCCGTCCCGGTTAATGTCTTTTGTCCCACAAAGACGAATTTAAAGCCGTAGCATCTTCCGAGAGTCTTGACCTCGACATGCACTTTATCACCTTTAATACCTTGCTCAATGGGTGTATTATTGCTTGTGACAACAGGCATGTGGTCCAGTTGGGTGGCTGAAGGCACTGCAAGCGCTCAAGAGCTGCACAGCTGGGGTCACTGCAACATGCGAGCCTGCTGACACGCAATCTCTGCCATTCGAGCGTGGCATGAAGCCAGAAGTATCCGAATGGAGCTCTATTGCCAGATGCCAACGCAAGGGAATGACAGACTTCTCTCTGTCATGCAGTCCCTGAACCAAGAGGATAAGGGACACGGAGTCCACTGACCCGCCCCACTTGCCATTATCACGTGTTTGAGCACAATGCTGTCGGTTTCGGCGCTGAAGCTGGAACATCCTTTGTTTAATGCACTGGCCGTCTCAAGTCTGCTACTGCTTCCAGTTGTTCTCCAATTGACAAGACGCTCCAATTCATCGTCACTCGACTCGAAAGAGAGAACGGGATCAGAGCGACGGGAGGCAGCTCGACCGCCTTGGACGCTTCCGGTGCTGCATAACACACTACAATTGCTCCTAGCCCGTAATGGCATACACGAATGGATCACGACCAACTGTGCACAGTTTGGAGGTCGACCGTTCACTGTGAAAGCTTTGGGTTTACCAGAAATGCTGGTGGTCTCTACTGCTCAGGCGCTCGAGGACGTACTTAAGCATCAGTTCATGAACTTTCCAAAGGGACCACACGTTAAAGAGAATATGAAGGACTTGCTGGGCGACGGCATCTTTGCAGTTGATGGGGTCAAGTGGGCGCATCAACGAGACGTTGCTCGTGAATTGTTCCGGACTCAGGAGCTTCGGGAGTGCATGACCGAAGCTATCACTAGACATACCATGGCTCTACACGACGTATTGAAGAAGGTGTGCGCTAGAAATCGCTCGGTGAACTTGTATAAACTATTAAGCTGCTTCTCAACCGAAGTGTTCACGGACATCAGCTTCGGAGTGACATTGAACTGCCTCCGAGCCAACAAAGAGCTGCCGTTCCAGGCTGCTTTTGATCGTGCACAGCGGCTAACAGCTCAACGTTTCGTTCGGCCCCGTTGGTTCTGGAAGATGCAACAGCGACTGGGCTTGGGCTCTGAGGATCAGCTCCAACTCGACATTAAGGAGATCGACGCAACGGTAATGAGTATCGTCCAGCAAGTCCTTGTGAACCGTGCATTGACTCCCGAAGACGGCAAGGCGAAGAACCTCAGCATGTTGTCACTCTTTCTTGATATCCTTGCCAAGTCGCCAAAGACGAAGGAGCAGCAGTACGACCCCGTTTATTTGCGCGATGTGGTTGTCAACTTTCTCGTAGCGGGGCGTGATACCACAGCTCAAGCTCTGAGCTGGTTCTTCTACAATGTAAGCCAGAACCCACGAGTGGAGAACAAACTTCGACGAGAAATTTACAAGAAGCTACCAGAGTTAATAACCGCTGAGTGCTGCGTCCCAACTCTCCAACAAGTCAACAGACTGGTGTATCTAGAAGCAGTGATCAAGGAGACACTACGTTTGTATCCATCCATGCCAATCTCTCCGAAGTATGCCGTGCGGGACACCGTGCTATCCGACGGCACTTTCGTCTCCGCCGGGACCATGGTCTGCCTTCCATTGTTTGCTATGGGTCGAATGACGCACGTGTGGGGCCCTGACGTTGCAGAATTCAAACCTGAGCGTTGGATTAACCCTTCCACGAAGACAATCATTAGCGTATCGGCATTCAAGTTCGTTGCCTTTAACGCAGGACCTCGCATGTGTATTGGTAGTTCACTAGCCAGTCTTGAACTTAAGCTGGTGGCAGCATCTCTACTCAGTAGATTCCACATCCACGTCGAGAACCCGGACACTGTGAGCTACGATTTCTCGTTAACTTTACCAGTCAAAGGCCCCATGAACGTCAGACTGGCACGAGTATCAGCTGGATTCGCGTAATTAGCCATCGCTCTTCATTAAAGAAAAATGGAGATAGGTACTCCACGGCAATATTCTAACCGACGAAATGTCGTGTACATGCACTCGCCGGCGTACATGGAGGCACTAAGCCGTCTACCAATGTATCTATACCGAGAGCGGTGACGTTGGTGATGCTGGAAGCCTGTTTCCTGGATGGAACACTCTCTCAACATCTTCAACTTCATCCTCCAACTATTGTGACTCGAAGGCAACTTTCCATTCACGGGACTACGTTGACGCGCTAAACGAATTTGGAACTGAGACGGAAAGCTGTCTAGACCAGGAGCTCCTAGACGAGTTGCCCTGGTAGATGATGCCTACGTGTTCCAGGGCTGTTCGAGTATTGCTGTTACGTTGCAGGCAGCTACGTTGACTGCTGTGGATGCAATACTGTATCTTCTGCAGTCGCAGGAGGTTGGTAGAGCGCCACCCGTTGCTATTAACCTCAATGGAGGACGACACCATGCACAAGCGAGTGGCTTCTCTTACGTCAATGACGTCGTGTTGGGAGTTCAGCGACTGTTGTCCAAGGGCAAAATGAAGCGAGTGCTAGTCGTGGATATCGATGTGCACCATGGAGACGGCACTCAAGAAGCTTTTTACTACAGTGAGAAGGTCACTACCGTCTCGTTTCATCTCCATGAGCCAGGTTTCTTTTTTGGAACGGGAACTGACACGGAGATTGGAGCTGAAAGAGGTAAATACGACAACTTCAATGTCCCACTGCAACGTGGAATCACTGACGAACAACTCCACGGAGTTTCCAGCGCGTTGTGAACAAAGCTGTCGAGACGGTGCAACCAGAGGTTATGGTACTTGTCTGCGGTGTCAACACGCTGGCTAGAGATCCACTGGGAGGGTTTAATCTAACGATTGACGGCATTTGTGACTGCGTTGAGTGTGTCATGGGACTGCAGCTACCTGTCTTGTGTCTTGGTGCTGGAGGTCATAGTGGAGCGGATGCTAGCAAGCCTTTTGTTGTTGTTGCCGCGACTGTGATCGCTCAGCGTCAAAATCTTCCCGAGACGATCCCTGAACACGATTTCTATGAAGAGTAAGAAGCCACATGCAGACGAAGTTGGTCTCTATTGCTTACTATTGCTTCGTGTTTAATTGGTTGTAGGTATTTGCCCA